CGGGGGGGGGGGGAGTGGAGAGGGGGGGGGGGGTCGCAATGGGTTCATATGGAACCCTAGTAAGAGAGTGAGGCCCACGCAGCCCTGCCTTTTGCATTAGGAGGACCCGTGGTCTCGAGGCGCTTCAGACCCGAGACTGGAACAGCGTAGTCATTGATGTCTGGAACGCCGTTCCTTCTCAGTCGGCGGAAGGTCTCGTCAGGTGGCAAATTTGGTTTGCCAACTGATCCAAGTCCAGCCGCGCCGCGCTGAGAATCCAAATGGCGCCTTGTTCGATGAGGAACTTGCAATCTTCCAGCTCTCTGGCTCGGTCCAATACATCTCGTCCTTGGCCGCGCTGCCATAATCGGGTACGGCCGATAAGAGTCCTCAGACGAAACAGAAAGGCAACGAGGTGGCCAGAGTTTCCAGGGGTCTTAAACCGACTGTCGAAGCTGATGCTCTGGTGCGATTTGTGGTCTGAAGCTTTCACGGTGACTGAATATAATGAATTCTTCCCAGGCTAAGAGCCGTATCAGGTGGTTGAACGGAGAAAACGCCGTCTTCCGGAGACTCGAGCTCACCTGGGTGGACCGAGGAGCGAGCTCCGACTCTAAGCTCCTGATGCTTTAGGACGACGCACTTCGCGGCGACGCTGAAGTATGACGAATCGCATTCATGAATAAAACGGGGCCTTTTGGGGGGCACCAAAATGGGCAGCTTCGTAATTTTTAGCCCACTCTTCCCCAAGTGCAATGGAGTCAACTCATCAAGAGAAATGAGACTGGCAGGACTTGCATAGCTAGCACGGTGAAATAAGACATGCGTACAGAATTTTAATAAAGAAAATAAGGCGGATTTACGCTTAAAACGGATCACACACAGGCCGGAAGCGTGAGTGGAAGTTGGCCGAGATCACGTGACTCGGGACAGAAGAGGACGAATTTCTTGACGACCGTCGAGGATGAAGTTGCAGTTGCCGTTCTGAACTTTGAACTATGAATAGACTGCAGACCTCGTGAAACGACCGCAGCGACGGACCGATAATCAATACTTGGTGCGACGGGCGTCTCGGCGCACACGGCGCGAATGCGTCCCGCTCCTACACACAGCTGACCGCCAGATGTCTCCGCGTTCCGGACAACCGGAGAGAAAACTCAAACCCGGGCGTCCAGCTCGCAGTTGTAACTTTGCTGACCAAACTCCCCCTCCTTATCCCCTCTTACAACTCCCTCGTTCGTCATTTCGGGTGTTCGGGATGAAATTATTAATAAAGCAATTAAGTTTTACTGCAGAAAAACGTTAACAGGCGGTTAGCGGTTTTCGGTCAGCACCAGAAGCCCAACCGCCCGACACTTCCGTGGAATACAAATTTATTTGTGGTTTATTTCGCAGCGACAGAGATCGGATGATTAATGAACAGCCATTCGGAAAACACACGGAACGAAGCGCCAAGAAAACACGACATCGGGTCTCAGGCCGTGATTTCAACCGGGAACTCCAGAAAGAGCGGCAACCACTCGACCGGCGCGCACTGGCAACGAGACACGGCCCCTAACCACATTGCTGGCCACAAGGATTTGCTTTTGTTGGGACGTACTCGGTTTCCCCATCGCCCGTCGCTGACGCAGTGGAAGACGGAGGAGGAGGAGGAGGATTATCTGAGCGACTCGTGTAATCTCTGTTATCGAAATATTTCTCCTTCAGAAGCTGGTATCAGCCCCAACACCAATTTGTACGTGCCTCTAAAAATGCTGTAATATACCGATATTAAATCGACTTCCGACATTCAAATTTCTAACCATTCAATGGTGAAGTCCGCCGAGTGACTACGTCTGTGCTCTGCAATGAACCTTCGTCTCAACTAAGCAGACACAAATCTGAGGGCGGGAAATGAACTCAAGCCTTGCCTCTCCGCTACACCAGACACAGATTTTCCACACCCCTGGCGACGGAAATCGAGGTTCGTGCAGTCACTTAGAGGGCGGCGACCTCAGAAGGAAAACAGGAGAGCCGAACGCGGGACTTTTGCCTCACGTTTCCTCACGGAAATCATCGGCATCAGTACATGAAGATCGGGAAACACATCAATGCTGGCACCAGAGAGCCCTTCCAACAGAATGTACAGAAGCTGGACGATACGCAATTATTGCGGGCGGTTGTTAGAAGCAAACGTTTCAACATCGCTGCAGGAGAAAGCAGCCTCTGAGCACGAACCGAAGTCACAGTCCATTCCCTCGACCTACTTCCCCGAGATCGATCCCGTAACGACTTTCCTGTTGGCCTAAAATCATGATTACCCGTCGCCTCGAGTTCTGCATTCAGTTCTCGTGCGGCGACATGTTTCGGGAGAAAAAAACCGTCTTCAGGGCATCACTTTTCCGAATCTGTCGTGACCTAGCGGCACGCAGTTCGCTTTATCGAGTGAAATGGACATCAAAAGTCTCTCCGCTTCGCTCCTCGCACGCGTTGCAGAAGGCAGAGCAAACGGAGACTCGCCTCGGAAGC